GAATCATCATTTACGTCTGTAGATTCAGGAGGTGCTGAGAGAAACTGGAAACTCTACAGAAAACAGAAATCAAAACTCATCAGCTCCACACTTCACCCAATAACCTGCACCAACATCAGATTTGTGCGGCTCTTGTTGACTCGACTGATCTTTAGTAACTCACCTCAATCCAGCACTTTCACAACATCAGCTTCATTCTTCTCATATTCATTACATCACATTCGAGCTACAGATTCTAGTATTTGTCACTTACACTCTCTGTGAACTTTCTAGGAAATAGTTTGGATGATAAAACATCTGCTAAGAACATAAATGTCCATCTAACAGCTCAAGCACATCAATGGAGTCTCATTGTAGGGTTGAGAAGATTTGCTCAGGAAAAGCAGCTCAAAGGCTACGATTAGATTGACAATTATTTATAACTTTAGAGCGGTTAAAGACACTGAAACTTCACAAGGATCCTTAAGACACGCTCAGGTTTGGTTTGGTTTGGATTGAATACGTTGTAGCATTGCTAATATACAGTCTTACTTCATATTTGGCGTGTTCATCGTCAAATTCATCAATGTGTTAAGCCCGAGACACTCTGCATGATTTTCGGCTGTCCCAGACGAAAGACTGGTATTGTGAAACAATCGTGGCGATTTCTGTGATCTCTCACTGTAGACACAGGACCACGGATTAGGAGCCATGATCACAAAAATTGCCACAATTGTTTCACGATGCCAGTCTTTCGTCTGGGACAACCGAAAATCATGCAGTGTGTCTCGGGCTTTACAGGCAAATAAAATCTATTTTATCATGTTTGAAGATCACCTGATCCAATTTTGATGAATGTTACTCAGAATTGGTACTATCGAGTTCACTGATTTCACCATGACATAATAAATCAGAAGGAAAAATTGTTAAATTAGGTGGAAATGGGGAAAAAGTGATGTTTTGAACTGTTGGTGGCACTAGTGGTGTTTGACAGCTAAATATATCTTCCAGAAGAAAGAGCTCAGAGAAATTATTCCTAAGAGATTTCCAGAGCTGAAAGCCATTTGTAAGTGGAGTCTCTTTCAGAAGAAGATGATCAGATGAGAGTCTGACTGATGATTATATAATAAGACACTCATGAAATGTTTCTCTGTGAGTCTCTGTCACAGCAGGATCTGCTCAAGTCCACTATGATCCTGTTCTTCTAGACCTCTGTTACCTGCAGGAACTGGATGTGATCTTGTGTGTGTGAAAGCTGCTCCAGCTCAGCGTCTCTCCTCCTCAGATCATTGATCTCCTGCTCCAGTCGCTCCAGTCGTCCTTCAGCTCGACTCACTGCAGTCTTCTCCTGATCTCTGATCAGCCGTATCAGCTCAGAGCGCCTTCTCTCAATGGAGCGGATGAGCTCAGTAAAGATCCTCTCACTGTCCTCCACTGCTGTCTGTGCAGAGCGCTGTTAGGACACACAGTGATTCAGGCTTCAGTGAGTCTGAACTGAGACGGAGACAAACTTCTCTTCTTCTCCAGACTCACCTTATGAGACTCCACAGCCTCTCTCAGCTGCTGAAGATCTTTCTCTCTCTGCTGGATTCTCTGCTGGAGCGTCTTCTGCGTCTCCTTCAGCTGCTTCTGCAGGACAAACGGATGATGAAACGGTGAATGTCACAGAAAATTACTGGCACTAAATCATGACGTGAACAGATGAATCCAGTAAACGTAGGGTGAGGCAGTTTAAAGGTTACTTATCTAAACTGATAACCAATGGCTGTAGGATCAAACTCCAGAAGTGATGATCGGTTATAGTAATCATACATTAATTAACATGAAGATTAAGGCTTGTTTTACACTGCAAGTGAAAGTATTATAAAAGTGAAAGTGACACAGTTGTAGAGCTTCACACTGACAGTGTTTCTGTGTTCTGTGTAATTAAGTTGCGGCTCTAAACAAAAAATAAACATACTGTTGGATCACTACACTGAGTATTAACTTGATCGGTAGTTTGAAATACCTGTTTCTCTGTCCTCTGGTCTGCAGCTGGTATAATGTCGTGGTTTTTATGTTCAATAATCGTACACAGCATACATATACATTTCTGGTCAGTGCGACAGAAAACCTCGAGGACCTTCTCATGTTTCTGGCAGATCATCTCCTGCAGTCGTCCAGTGGCATCAGTCAGCAGCCTGTAATACAGCTCTTACAGTAACTGTGTCCACAGGGAATGGCCACTGGATCCTTCAGGAGATCCTGACACACTGCACACAAGAACTCATCCTGAGAAACTCTGGCTTCTGCCATTTTACTGCATGAATACAGAGACACAAACACACAACAGCTCAACTACACTTCAGTTTCTCTTTCCCTGAACTCATGTGATTCCTGTTTCCTGGTTCTGTGTTTGAGTGACGTGAGTAAAAATGGGTTTGTCTGCGAGTCTGTAAAACAGCTTCCTCATTCCTGCTCCTGTAGTCACACACACACACACACACACTGACAGTGCAGTGCGTGGTGAGTCTTTACAGTGTCTGTTCTGTTCATGTCAGTGTTGTGCGTTGATGCTGAGACCAAATTTGCCAGGATGCTGAGATCGAACAGAGTGATGCTGAGATCACTCTGTTCGAAAGACATCCTGGGTTTTTTTTATAACCACAGAAAGTCAAGACCTCGGTTTAATAAGCTCAGAATAAAAAGCCCCAGAGACCTGATAAAAGAGTCCTAATGGTAACATGGGATTTATTTCTGTTCACACTGTCTAAACATGATCGGATTCCAATCAGATATGCACAAAAGTCAGATTTAAACTGACAGTCTGAACAATTCAAAAATAAAATTTTTATAATGTTTGCAACAAAATATAATGTTCCAATGCTATTTTATTTTTATAGTCTCCTATACTGGACCTATTAGGTTTGGTTGGTTCTATGGCTTCATAGTGACTATCTTACTGATGGTCCGGTCTAGAGGCTTCTTCGGACAGAGCTCCGACGCGGGAACCATGGTGGGTGAGTACGATCCATGTCTAAATATATATAATGAGCTGGTGGTTGTGTGTATAACCCTTCTGCTAGTTTCTTTGCAGTGTTTCCCGGGACCTGTGTGTTTCTGTCCTTTTCTAGGATAAGTCCTCGATGAGGCCCCCTCTGAAAGCCGGGTTCGGAACCGGGTGCTCGACTTGCAGTGTTTA